AAAATCTCAAAATTCAGGTTAAAAGTAATTTTCAGATTATTTCAATTAATTTAAGTCTGTGAAATTTTTATGAACTTTTATAAAAAAAATTTCGAATTGTTGATAGATAGCGCAATTTATATTGATACCCTAAGAAAATTATGTAAACGCCAAAAAAAGTGTTTAATATTTTTCAAAAATCTGTCAAACACGAGCCCCCATCCTCACCCCCTGGGGTGAAAACTTGGATTTAAATAAAATGATTTAACTATACTATAATGACATTTTGGATATCCTGACAGGATATCCAAAACACAAAGAGGAATGGAAAGACAGATGCTGGGTATCGGTCTTAAAGACAGGAAAAGAAACTCGTGGATCAGAGAAAAAATAAAGGTGAACGATGTATCAAGACAGGTTGCAAAACTTAAATGGAACTTCGCCGGTCACACTCTCCGGCAAAAAGATGAAAGATGGAATAAGCGAATTCTACACTAGAGACCATGGGAAAAGAAAAGAAAAAGAGGAAGACCACAGATGAGATGGACTGACGATCTTAAGAGAGCGGCAGGAAAGGACTGGATGAAGGTCGCCCAAAATAGAGACCAATGGAGATTAACAGGAGAGGCCTATACCCAAGAGTGGGCGTTTAAGGCTGATTAGATAGATAGAGATAAATAGATAGATAATGACATTTAATTTAGGATGGGATAATAAAAATGGTAGTCATACCGCAGACATTCCACAAAGAAGAGGCATCAGTGAGTTTTATTGAAAAGTAAAAAAACCTAGTCTAGTCTAGGCAGTTATATTTAATCTTGAAATAATACTATCTAAACTCCTTTTACCCTATGATAGCCGGTATGTAATTAAAATATATCAGCTAGCCCCAAACAGTGGGGCGTTAATATTTAATTCCGATCGCTTGAAAAGTAAAAATATTTGATTTCCCGAATTTTATGTTCAGTAATAATATTGGATTATACTGTATCAAAGATAAACAAAATGAATATAATATGTATATATAGGGCGTATATATAGGGAAAGAATATAAATAGGGAAGATCTGAAACACCTAAGATTTGCCGATGACATCGTTTTAATATCTGATAGAGTTAATAAAGCTGCCAAAATGCTGCACACGTTCTATAAAATGTCAAAAACAATTGGTCTTAAAATTAACACCTCAAAGACAAAATTTATGACCAACCTTGTAGTCAGCGGTAAAATTCTGATTGAGAGCCATACCATCGACCATGTAATAGCTTACAAATATCTAGGGCATAAGATTCGCTTAGGCCGAGATAATCAGACAACTGAAATACAAAGAAGGATAGGTCTCACATGGGCTGCCTTTGGTATATTGAATAAAATTTTCAAGTCTATTATCCCAGTTTGTTTAAAAAGAAAGGATTTTAACCAGTGCGTTTTACCGGTTCTTACATACAGTGCAGAAACACTGACTGACTAGGAGTTACACAACGCACTATGGAAAGATCAATATTAGGTATTACCATCAGAGATAAAGTACCAAACCTAGAAATAAGAAGAAGAACAGGAGTCACAGATGCAGTTAAAAAAAATAGCCATGGCTAAATTGGCTTGGGCCGAACATGTTGCCAGATTAACGGATGATAGACTGATCAGAAAGGTTCTGAAATGGCGACCAATGCAAGAGTCATATCGAAGCAGAGGACGATCACCGACTAGATACTAGATGGGCGGATGATATCAAGCGCATAACCACAAACTGGATGCAAGAAACTCAAGATAGAACTAGGTGGAAAATTTTACGGGAGGCCTACGTTTAGCAGTAAACAAATATAGGCTAATTGATGATGATGATATAGGGCGTGTCAAAAAAAGTGGAAGGGAAAATTTCGAATACTCGAAATTATTTGTCGACATCAAATGTTCATCAAGGTCTCTAGAAGTCTCTATTTTGCGTAGAGTGAAACTTATACGAATGGTTTTCCTTGCAGTAAAATTGTAAAATACTTGCCAAGTTGCTGGTATGTCCAAATTTGTATAAAATACATTAAAGACTTTACTTTCTGCATACACTGTATTAAATATAACCCTGAAACAAATTAGCACTAAATCACTTCCGAGTTTTCAGTAAAGCAAAATGTTTAAACACGTGAGTCCAGTACTGAATACCAAAGCTATTAAGAGTATGCAGTACAGTAATTAGACCGAAGGTACTTTATCGTTTAATTAAAAACACACCACAAAGTCCGAATTGAATTCCCGAAGCACTTTTTTGGTACTTCTTTTTAGCAAACGATTTGTCCTATTCACTGTCTGATATTTCACTACCAAAGTCGTCACTATCTTAATTGTTTATATAATGCCGAATAATTAGAGGCCGGACCTCATCTATAACTCGCTCGGTTTGAAAAGACTGAAAAATTATGTGTTCCGTATGTCTAATATAATTTTGCCATTGTTCTGCCTTTATTTGTTCTGGCGATTCTTTCCATAAACTAAGAACGCTAGCGTCATCTGTTGTTGTGGATACATATTTATCATAAAAATTTTTGGCTATACCCCAAACTAGAGATGCCACTTTGGAACAGGATCTGTTCTTTTCGAAACAGGTTTTTATTTGGAACAGGTTGGAACAGATATTGATCAATAAGTTTTCCTGTTCCATAACAGTTTTTTATCACACAACAGACCAGTGTATTTACAATTACTTCAGAGACCGGTGTTGCATTGCTGTGCTTTTATATGGTTGTTGCAGTTCCAGTGGAGTGGAAAGTATGTGCATGCGCATAAACCATGATTGTAAACTGTGAATTGTCGACTCGCGACAAAACTTCAAACTTTCAAACTATACAACCAGAAATACAATGGTCTATTGTTAATGCAACAACCTTTCTGGAACAAACCGAACCGGTACTGAAACAACCCATAACACAGTGTTAGACTTGGAACAGTTTGGAACTGAAGCAGTTTTTTTGAACCAGATAATTTTTGGAACTGAAAGAGGTTGTAACAGTTGTTGAAAAATCCCTGTTCCAACCATCCCTACCCCAAACTAACTCAATTGCATTATAGTGGCAATGATAGGTCGGAAGTCAAAGAACTTGATGACTATATTTAAGAGCCATTTGATCAGTAACAAATTTTGAATTTTATGCTCTCCACACCTTTGAAGTAAATCGACTTTTAAAAATATGTCACTGTGATAAATTTTCTTCTCTGTTAACTACAACTTTATTTCTTCTTTTGTCCACCAATGAAACCTGGTTGAAGGAAATCTTTCTTCTACTCTTGAGTGGTAGGATGCATTATCCAATACTACTATGGATGGTCGTTCCAATTTTTTTAACAAATTTTCTGTAAACCATTTTTCAAAAATATTTGCATCTATATTTTCATGGTAATCACCTGTATTCTTTGTGGACAAAAAAATTAAACTAGTGTCAGGAATAAAACCCTCGTCATTTCCAGCATGAAGTATAATGTAGCGTTTACCATTACTGGAACGACTTTTCGCGGAACCAACATTTTGTGGTGCTATCTTGCCAGGATGATTTTGACATATTTCCTTTAGCGAAACTCTAAGTTTCATCTAAAAATACAACTTGAGTTGGACTATCAGACGTTGTATTGTTCATGGATTTTCTTAAAAAATGCCACCGTTTTGAAACAATATTAGAGAGTTCACACAATACTTGTCTATTATTTGTCTTTTTATATCGAAAACCTAAATGCTTCAGCACTCTCCACAAACTTGTTAAACTAATATCACACAGTTCCTTGTCTTGTATTTTTTTTCAACAGAGCATTAACTGTTACATGTTCTTTGGCTTTATACATATTATATATAATATTTTTAATTGACTGGTGCAAAGGTTTTTGGACGTCGCCGATTTATCTTGCTTACTTTATTTATTACATCCTCACTCATGTTATTAATTGTTCGAAATGTCCTCTCTGAGATACCGCAAGCATCGAATGTGCGTTTCTGAACTGCCATAACAGATCTCAATGGACCCATATTATTTTTTTTGCAAATTGAAATAACTTTCGACTTTTAGAACTAAACTCCGTTCTTCTGGAGATAACACTCTACGTTTCGACTGTATATTATTTTCTTTCAAATTACTTATTTTGCTTTAAAGTACCGCTTCACTACAATACTATAAAAAATAGGTAAAAAGGCTAAAAAGGCCGAGTGTTGTACAACAGACGAAACACTCGAACACAAATTATTTAACAGCCACTGCTAAACATGCATAAACACTGCATTGATTGTGATTGCAAAAACCGTTTGCATGTTTTAAATAAGACTTTTGCTGATTAGGTATTTTGCTAAATTATTAAATAATACCAATACAACCCGCGACCATCAATTTATTTCTAACGATAAACAGAAGAGAAATATGATGACGTTTGAATTTGATCTATTTTGTCGATGACAGTGTCGTTAACAGCAAAATATTTATAAGCAGCATGAATCATTTGTCAATGGTTATGTGGATTTAAGAAATACATTACTATTAATCAGTCAGAAGAAATTAAAAAAATTATTATGTAATAAATTCACTGTTTAAATAAATATTCCGTACTCGTACTATTGCAATAAAATATTAAAACCAATAACCAAACAATAACTTGTTGAGCAGTGATGATTGAAACAACAGAGCAGTAAAATGTTATTTATAAAAGTAGTGTAAAATATATCGTCGCTTATCTGGTCCGCTAGTAATAAAGTTACCAGCACTGAATTGCAAAGCGGTCTGCTTAGGTAAAATAATATTATAATAAAATTTTGGAGGTAAACAAAATTATCCAATACAAAATACCTACAAATATTTTAGTCCAAAATCTTGAGGATGATAAGTAAAAAAAAACATATGCAATCAATTTCACCACGAGGACTAGAGAATACGAGATATTTTCATCATCATACGATCTAGAGACACAATTTAAGCCACCATACCTGTACAATATGTATCAAAAATATTGTCTATAAGAAAAAAATATATATTACCATATTCCATACCATACGGACTAGTCCGTTGAAATCCAGTACTATCATAAGGTCTCCATCCACCCATCATCATATTCTGGGCATAAAACTGTCCAGCTAGAGCGCCAGCATGGTGAGGCGACGTTCCTAGTCCATGGGGAGTTGGAGCAGTCATTTCACCATAACCACTACCGGTATGCCATCCACCTTGGTGAGCTGCTCCGAAGTGGCTGCTTGCTGGGGATGTGTACTGGGGCATGGCTCGATTGCTTGGGACGTAAACTGGCGACTGTTGAAGGTGTTGATGAAAACTGGCGTTAGCGTCGCTGTATCCACCTGCGTTTGAAGCAGAATGGAACATTGTGAAATCGAGGGGAGATTGTTAGAAGACGTACATCTGTAACAAAACAAAAATGTTAACTACATATCACATTAAAGCTAAATACACGTCTTGTAAATTATGTTCCATATTAAATATGTATCGTTTTTTATGTTTAACGTAACTACAGTCATTAGCTAAACATACATTATGGATAAAATATTGTAATAATCGACGTAAACAGAATTTCGCATATATTCATTCACAACAAAGAAATTTTTTCTAATAATTGATGGATTCGATTGTTACTTGATGGAAATTCATTTTATGTAACAATAAAACATTGAAAACTTTGTTTTCAAACTTCCACAAAATTTATTTTAAATCTTATCACTACAGCTGTTTTGGCTGATTGCCTTTCTCAAGTGATCTATTTTTGACTTGGGTTTACAAATTTATAGTCTCTAATGAAATAGGTTGAGGAGGGGAGAACTGTTTGTCTCAAGTTGGTCATTCAGAATTATATCTGTGTTTTTTAATTTGTTGATTTCCATAGATTCTAACAAAGACAGCTTAAGGCCTTTATTTTGAATGTGAAGAATTTTAAATTTGTCATTAAAAGAATGATTATGATCTATAATGTGAAGTGCGTATGTCGAATCTGTTTTTCTATTCTTGAAAGCCCTTTTATGTTCTGCTATTCGTTTATCAAAGTTTCTACCAGTTTGACCGATGTAAGTTTTTGGGCAGTCGTCTCATTGAAGTTTGTACACACCACTATTTAAGTGTTTTTTATTTTGGCTCTTGTTATTTTGAATATATTTGCCTAGGTTGTTATTTGTTCGGAAAGCTGGTGTTATTCCTTTCTTTTTTATGTGTTTAGCAATGTTTGTTTTTATTTTGCCTGTATATGTAATCGAGCAGAAGGTATTGGGTTTTCTCTCTGGTGGTGGAAATACTAATTTCAGGGCTTTCTTGTGTAGTTTTTGATTTAACATTTTATTAATTGTTTGTTCATTGTGTCCGTTGTTTACTGCTATTTGCTTAATTATATTTAATTCTGTCTCAAAGTTGTATTTTGACATCGGAATTTCTGTTAATCTATGTAACATACTATGATAAGCTGCCAGTTTATGTTGTGTTGGATGGGATGATGAATTGTGTACAGTCGTGTCAGTATGGGTAGGTTTATGAAATATGGAGAAGTCATGTTTGTTTTGAAGTCTGCTAATTTTTTCTATATAATACAGGTATAATCTGCTGAAAATGACAGTCATCTTTTAAATTAATACACTGCTAAAAGGTTAACATAAAAAACAATAATTCTAAATTTCTTAATTTAATAAAAAAACATATACGTTCTTTGATTAAATTATCCTAGTTTAATAGCAACTGTGTTGCAGATGACACTTGTTTAACTGCTTTAGATCAAAAGTTTAAAGTAAGTATATATTAACAGGTTGACTGTAACCTAAAGGTCCTTGGCTTTTTTGTTGTGTAAAAGTTATTTCAGTGAAATTGGCTGAAACTTTACAGAAAGAACATGAAAACATTTGGTCATGCTGATCAAAAGATATGATTGTCCCAAGACAAATAAATTGTGTCTGAGTTAGAAAGGTTCAAAATGTCTATTTCTAATCCATTTGAATAATACATAATGTATAATATTTAGGGTGTTAGTAAATTCGTGTAACTAACTTCAGAGAGTGATTCTGCATGAAGAAATAATGACAGTTTGAGGATGTAGGATATAGATTTTATTTATGTTTATCATTAGTTTAAACTGCTTGTTTTACGTCAAATATATGTGAGATGTGTAAGAAAAGAAACATCAAAAAATGGCAAAAGTAAGCCTAATCAGTAAACTCAATCACGCACTTATTAATTTGATTGCTGTAAACATTATCAATACGTGGGTGGAAGTTTGATATGTTATGTTAGAAGTTACTGTATACGTTCATTCGAGTTATAAATGGTTTGTAAGTGGTGTGATAATGTGATATTTCAAAATATGAAACTTAAAAGTTGGCTGTAACAAAATGTCCAGTTTAGCACCACTTGTTGAAGTTTTTCCTAAAATTCAGTAATTTCTAATGAAAAGTCCACCCATTGAATTAACTCAAGTTTAACTATTTTCTTCTTTTATATGTTCCTGTACGTAGTCAGCCAAAGGTCTTCTTCTGTACCTCTTCTATCTTCACCGAGTTGGATACCAACAGTGTTCGATTTTAACAATGCATGATGTCATGGAGTGTCAGAAAGCCTTTTACTTCATGCCAGAAAAAAGCATGCAAAAAGATGATATTATTTTCAAATACTGTAGAACTGACCCACCTAAATCCAAAAGAAAGAAGTTTGATCCTATAAAGAGGAAAACTACAACCTTCCAATATTCGGTTATAAACCATACTGGCAACGCTCTCAGCTTTTTCAGGCTTGCTCTTCTCAAGGTGTTGGATCACCTTACTAAGCATAGAATTATAGGCATACTCTGAAAATTCAAAAAACGTGGGTCTTATGTCCCCGTAGAAACTCGAGGCGGAAACCACAAGGAAGTTAAGTTTGCTTCGAAAAGAAAAGAAGTTTATTTGTAGTTTTCAAGCTGTTGAATCACATTATTCACGACATCACTTATCACGTTTACCTACCATCAGACGTGAACATCGTCAAAATGTTCCAAATGATCAATGATAGTAAAGATGAATCTGAGAAGATTACTTAAGGATTTTTCAGAAAAATATTTTGCTTAGATTTCAACATTGGATTCTTTTACCCTAGCATGTATGAGTGTAGCATTTGCTTTAAAATACTAAACCTCATTCTAATTGAAAAAAGAGAGGGAAAATAATGTCTAAAAATGTAAAGTAAAGTACACAAGAAACAAGTCTAAGACTTCTTCCAGCACCTGCGAGTAAAACCACAAGGATGGTTTATTTTGAGTTTTGACTGTCAGAAGAACCATATTCTGTCCAAAATTGCTGATCAAAGTGTTTATTATTCTCAACACCATTACTGTTACAATCTTTCAGTAGTCAAAGGATTGTCAAATAAATCCCTGAATCCCAGTTACGTTTTCTGGTAATTTATACCTGGTCGGCAGAAAAAGCAAAAAAATCATCAAAAGAGGTTGCTTCTATTGTATTCAATGAGTTGGATTCAGCTGATGTCTCAGGATATGACTTCATTCATATGGTGTCTGATGATTGTGCTGGACAAAATACGAATATAAATATTTTAACTATGTACTGCAAGTTCCTGGACAGCTGTGCAACAAACATTAGAAAAATTGAATGTCAAAACAGGGCACTATAACAGGGCAGTAAGTTTCTATAACAGGGCACTCATTCTTTCCCGCGAGACAAAGTGTTTGGGATCATACAGAAAACATTAAAAATATCAACACAATTGTGTTCATTTTGTTAAGTTAAAGTTATTGGAACGCTTAAGTTGATTGGAAGGGAATGGATGCCTTTTGTCTGGAAACAAGTCGCAAAAAGGTAAAAAAAAACAGCCGAATAGTTCTGCAAAAAATTAAATTGGAGAGAGCTGTAATATGAGATATTGCTTACAATCTTAACACTGGTGCAGAAAGAAAAATTTGTAGGGCCAAATGCAATATTGGATAGATTACCACAAAAGAAGAAAAACAGAAATTCCTATTGGTGTGACCCTAGAAGAAGAAAAGGTTAAGGGCATAGCAAAATTGCTTGAAAAACATGTCGAAGTAAATTGGAGAGACTACATTCGTGAGAAGTTATAGTGAAACATTTCTGGACATCTTACTGATTTCAATGTCACTTGAACCTAAACCTAAACAAGGTCGTAAGCTGGACTGTTTTGGAAGAAGAATCACTTAACTTACACAAGTATGTGAGTTTTGAGCGACCAAAAGGCAGAAACGGAACGATGGGTATTTAATCTAAAGAAATGTTTAAATGAGGAGGTTTTTGTAGATGCTTTTGGCTTTATTGGTCCGAGATAAGAGGATGTGAATGAGTTAATTGAGGGTCTGAGTGCGGTACAGAAGTTGGCTTGTATAAGATCAAATCGAAGGTATGAAAGAAAACAACCATACTGGTGGAACGCACAGCTTAAACATCTGAGGATAAACTGCATAGAGTAAGAAGGGAGTGTAAAAGGTTAAAAAGTGTGCAATCAGAAAACAGGAAGAGAGAATGAATGAATTGAAGCAACAGAATGAATACAGGAATGATATAAGAAGATCTTAAAGAGAAAGGTTGAGAATCTCGAAAGGGATATGTGGGAGCAGGGCTTTAAGATGTGTATCGAATTTAAAGGGAAGAAAAACCCTAACCCCCGCCCGAAAAGGCGAAACTCCGTTTAAGACGGAAGCTCTTTCCTCAGGTGGAGGATAGGTGTGAAAGGGTTAAACCCCTTACTGAGTTGGAACTCGGCGAGGCTGTTGAACGGATGAAGATCCGAAAGGCACCTGGCATAGACGAAGTCATGCCGAAGACAGTGAGACTCGCCGCACTAAGATACCTGCAGGTTTTCCTGAGATTGATAAACAAACTGCTTAAACAACACGGTTGAAAGACGCTAAGATTGTCCTTATTCCGAAACGTAGAGAAAACAAGAAAGAAGTGCATTTTCGGCCAATACTTTGCCTTCTTAGTTCGGTAGCTAAATTATACTAACAGCTAGTAAAAGACCGCCTTGAGCGAGATCTGAAAGAAAATCAAACGCTGAGCGACTACCAATATGATTTTAAGGTCAAAAGGTACATGAATAGCTCTCATTCTGCTTGATGTCAAGAATGCCTTTAACACGGCATTATGGGGAAAAACATGTTTAAGCTGAGATTATTGGGCGTTAATGAGTACCTGGTCAACGTAGCTGACAGCTACTTTACCGACAGGTCCATAAAGGAAAAAGATATCAGCACCAGGTTGTCGCAAGATGTTCCGCAGGGATCGGTACCAGGTCTCACCCGGTGAAATGTCTTGTACGACGGGGTGTTGAGGCTACAGATGCCACTCTTGTAGTTAATGCCGATGATTTTGCACTGGTTGTGAAGCGAG